AATAATTATAGTAATAATAGAAATGGTCTTATCAATAATAAGGATGAAAAAGTGAGGCAATCTGTGATAACACGAATAATGAAAAACAGCATGATTAAACAAACAACTGTTCAGGTGGAAGTAGTCGATAAAGGCTAGTAAAAACAAATGAACCGATTAAGTAATGTTAGATTGTAAGGGAAGGAAATGAAACACGTTTATAATGAAGATAAGATTAAGGGATGATAAGAAAGGGGATGAAAATAAAAACAAAGGGTGGTGTAGAAGTTACTAGTTGGTTACGTCCTAATAGGCCAAGGGAGGGATAAAGGCTGTACGAACTTTTTTTGAATACATAATTTAGGTTTAATAGTTCGAATGCCTATTGCCTCAGCTGTGTGTAGTAGACGAATACGAAGTCTATTGGAAAGATTCGGTGGGATACGATGAATCACTTTGAAAGCTCTCGTTTTCTCAATTACATGACCACTATCAATTAAGTGTGACAAAATTGAGCTACGGATTGTTTTTGTCTGTCCTTTGCCAAACCACGATGGGAGATGCTCACTAACACGTTGGCTAAGCTGTCTAGTAGTACGCCCAATATAACTGTCACCGCAGGTGCAGTTGAATTGATGAATACACATAGATGTGGCAAAAATATCAAGCTTATCCTTCGTTTGCGTCGCAATCATTCGTCGGCTAGAGAATGACAAACATAGGTGTGCTGCGTAAAATGTTCTTCGTATACTCCTTGAAAGTCGTTGGAATAGAATCTCACTTGATAAGTCACCATTAAATTGTAACTTAATAAATAGAGGTTTCTTACGTGCCGTCAGAGTCTCCGGTTTTTTCTCCGATGTTTTCATATGTTTCTTTATGAAATTACTCGGATAGCCCATCTCCATCAAGGATTCGTGAATATATTCAAATTCCTTTTGTAAGAGGTCATCTGTACATATCTTTCTTGCTCTGCTCGCAAGACATTTTACAACATTCCTTTTATATTTAATGGGCACGTAACTAAGGAAGTGTGTATATTGCCCTGTGAAAGTGCTTTTTCTATACACGCTTCTCCCAAGTGACCCATCATCGACATATCGATAATACATATCAAACTGCTTGATGATGTCCTTCAATTTCCCGTTTTCAAGTTTTGCGAGAAAGAAGTCAGCTAACATTGGGCCTAATGGTGAACCCATAGCTATTCCATCTACTTGTCGATAGTATGCATTATTAAAGACGAAGTGAACATTCATTGTGCATTTAAGAAGTAATTCTTTGAGGCTACACAAGGGGATTCCTAAGTCTAATTGCCTTTCGGCGATTTCTTGACAAATATAGTCTACTGTTTCCATAAGCGGTACATTAGTGAATAGTGATGATACATCCATGGATAACATGCGTTTATACCTCACATTAGTCTCGGATATTTTAGAAATAAAGTCAAAGACATCACTAATTCTATGTTGCACGATTTCTCTGTGCAAAGGACCCAAAATCTCCACTAACCACTTCGCTGTTTCATGAAATGGAGAGTTATACATATCTAAAACAGGGCGAAGAGGAAGACCCGGTTTGTGAACTTTTGGTAGACCGTAAAGACGTGGAGTATAAGTACCCGTTGGCTTCATGGACTCATACGTGGTTGGTGATAATACTCCTATTTGGTTCAGTTTTTTGAGGGAGTCGGTCATTAGTTTCTCCGCTCTTCCATTGAGGTCTTTGGAAACCCCCAGAGATTGGAATTTAGTTTGATCATTCAAAATGCCTTCCATTTTCTCCACATAATCGCTTTTGTCCAGTAAAACTATGCCGTCACCTTTATCCGGCTTGCTAATAACTAAGCTTTCGTTGCTTCTAAGTTCTCTTAGAGCTTCTCTGTGTTGTTTAGATAACAGCTTATTTACTGAATGTTTATTATTCTTGTATTGTTGGCAGCTGTCAACTAGCGTCGTTTTGAACCTAGTTAGTTCATCGTCTGATGATGGGGTAAGATCTGATGTTTGAGAATACAAATTTTCAAACTGTATGTCAGTGTCTAATTGGTCAACTTTAGGAGCATAATCACCAAATTTGGGACCTAGGGATAACACCTCCAATTGAAACTTATTATTATTACAATGTCAATTGTTACAACTATTACTATCCTCACTTTAAACTGTCCCCGGTATTATTTCACTTGTCATTCTAAATCAATTCCTTTATGCAACATTAAATTCTATGCTATTAAATTTCACACAATATTACGTAACGTTTTTATTTAATTCGATTTGTCTACTAATCTTATAATTGCACACCTTTTTCAAGTTCTATCCATCCTATGAGTTATTCTATATATGACATTAATTTGCTTTGCCACTTGACATTTAACCACGATTATAATCACTAACATTTTAGTTTTAATTGCATTTCATATTATTATTAGTAGTATTTTATGCATTCACACCTATGTTTCAATTCCCTCACCGGATATAACTTCTTAACAAAAAAACCATATATATCCGATTGTACAGCTTGATGATAAATTCGCTGAAAAGAGTCTCTTCGCTGAATCATTTGTTTTGATTTTCTATGTTACAATGGGAATTTTCCATGATTTAAAATATATAAAATGGCTGTTGAATTCCTCTCTATTTCTACATGCCTCATCTTCATAACCTTGAAAAAAAAATCAAGAAAATTACAATGCTAGCAGGACCCTTATATGTTACTGTTCCTTAGACTCTCGGCAGTTGTTCTGAGTTATTTTGAAATGCAGACTAGTTCATCGTAGTTCCCTTCAGACTTAACCAGTGATGCATCCTTACTGGTCAAGATTGTCAGCAAGAACTTGCTAAAATCGGAGTTGTGATAAAGTCATATCCAATCACTTATGACTGTTCATGTGAATACACTCTTAGGAAGTGAACATTCCCTCACTACATCAAATTGTCGTTAATACCTATTTGAAGAGTTAGGATATATCTTTCCTAATTTACCTCCTTCTAAATTTCGGTGGGCAGAAAAAATTTTGTATTTTTATGGGAGAGTACGTTGTTACTGCTGCTCTTTGCTACCCACAACATAAAACGCCTGAAAAGTCCTAGCTTCGCGCGGCCATATGAGCCCAAAACACACCAATTTGAAGTTAACTGTTTCTATACCGTATCTTCCAAAGCCAGTTGAGTGAGAGAAACACCTCTATCCACTTTCATTGCAGCGTTAATGAACTTTCAATTCAACCGCTATCATTCCAACGGTTTTGAATGCCAGGAGCCGCAGAGAAGTTTTTTCTTAAAATTACCACAGTTGTTGGGTCACAGCAATAAATAAACCCGACATAATTGCCAAAGTATTCGCTGATATTCTCATTAGCTTACATAAATTAAGTCAATACATGATGCATTTTACCAGCAACTAATCATTGTTTATTGTCTGACAAACTATCGATTTTATTTCGGTCCCAACTTCATGAGAGTAGTGATTTCCACACACCTTTAGTGTAGTGTCGAGTCTCTGAAAGGAGTCAAATGCCTTTATAATTACAATGAATCGTAATGTTTGGAATATGTCCAAGTGAGTTGTTGTTACACAACAAACCGATAACTGAAATCACGATACAAAGAGAACGTACCACTACGTCCAATCTTGGATATGACAAATTCCCCATATCATGCTACTGCCAAATGGCTAGCAGACATCCTCCTACCTATCAGAAATAACCTCTGCAAGCATAGTGTTTCTGATTCGTCGATTCAATATTACTTCGCTTTTCACCAACGTTCCCCTCACTGAAACTATTTGCTTTATATGCAAATTCATTAAGGATAATAATGTAAATGTGTGTTCCGATCCACTGCTCAAAGGAACTACTATTGAGGTACACTCTGAATGCTCAATTCAAGTTCAACAACACGATTTATAGACAAAGAGATGGAGTGGCAATGGGATCACCATTGGGTCCTTTACTTGCAGACTGCTTCTTGGCCAGTTTGGAGAATAATATTTTACGGCCTGCTATCGATAGTTTTCATTTGTACCAAGGATACATGGATGATACTTTCATCATATGTGATGACAATACCGACATCGAATCGATAACTAAATAGTTCAACAGCTGACATCAAGTTCACGTTGGAATCAGAGATTAATTCGGAATTCCATTTCTTGGATGTTTTTCTAAAAAGGAGATCGGATGATTCTCTTCAAAGATCGATCTACAGGAAACCAACATGGAATGGTCAAGTACACAAATTTCCATAGCTGGGTCCCTTTGAGAAGGAAGAGAAATCTGATCCATTCCTTATCCTCAAGAATAAGGAGGATATGTTCAAGTGATACAATCGTTGGGGAACTGGGGCGACTCAGACAAGTCCTCATAGAGAATGGATATCCTCCAAGATTTATCGAGAAAAACATGAAGCCAAGGGAAAAACCTGAAGGAATACAGACGGTGCCGAAGAAACTACTGTTTATGAGTATTGAATTTAAAGGTGATACCGCAGCTGAGATCCTGAAGAATCGCTTATGCAGATCACTGAGGAAAGCCTTCTTTATGGCTGAGCTACGTATCAACTTCTACAGCCGACAAATGATCAATGCATGTGTGAAGGATAAACTGCCGCTTTGGGCCACCTCAATGTGTGTTTATAAATTCACTTGCTCTTGTGGAGCTAGTTATATTGGCCGCACAAAGCGCACGCTTTCCAAACGCATCTCTGAACATTATCCGGTATGGTTAGCAAAGGGACAATGTAAGACAATTACTAGCTCAATTCTCGAGCATTTGGTGAACTCAGGCCACGTAGCTCCACCAGAATCGTCTTTCAAGATCATCTACAAAGTGAAGCCAAATGGTACAAAGGGCGTCAGGTTTCCGCTTTTGTGTATGGCGGAGGCGATGGCGATTCATCAATACAACCCTGAACTCTGTATACAGAAAAAGTTTGTCCAGTCTCTTATTCTACCTTGGTCTTAACCTCTTCACTAATCGTTCTTTGTAAATAAAAAATATATTTTGATTTTTCTTTTCATTCTACTTTCATTTTTAGTTAGCTTTTGCTTTAATAATTAATTCACTATTATCACTCTCATATGCTCCTTTTGTATATTTTCACACCCTCTTCACACTTGTTAAATTGACACTCAAATACCACCTTTATTCTCACTGAATAGCAATTTTAACCTTATCAAATTTCTATCTTTGTGCCGTTGAGTACCACGTAATTTTCAACTTCTAATTTTCACTTCTAAAGCCACTTCTGAGTAATTATATCAATTATGTCACCCCCTATTACTCAATAATAGACCACTATATATTTTTGTAAGTATAAATACGATTGTACTGCCTCTGAAGATGATTTCATTGGTAAAGAACATATTCTTCGCTGAATTTGTCGTTTATTTTCTTCTATTTTAGTTGAACTCTGATAAGATGTCATTAATTGTAGATTTGCTCACTGTGTGAATCGCAAATACAATAGTACAGCACAAAGACAATATTTATTTATTATATGTTAGAACTCATTGAAGAAAAAAAAAGAGATTTATAAAGAGACATAAAGGATAGAAACAATGTGTACTCATTATCATCATCATCATCAGTTAGAAAAGCATGAAAAATTAGAAAAGCATCATCATCACAGTAGTTCTTAAAATTATTGTTTTGTTTGTTTGTTTATTTTTTTTACATCTGAGAAACATCACACTATGTATTGATAGAAGCTACTACTGGGCTTATAGGAGGATTTGGAGAGACATTCATGTAGTAGTTATTATTGGCTTGAAGATATAAATACATGAGTGCAAGGAATAAATTAAGTCCCAAGAGACAACTACCAAGTACAAGTACAATGGTGAATATTAAATTTCTTTTTGGACGTGAAGGCAATATACCAGGAAGAAACATATCTAAGAAAGCTTTTAAAATCCATTGACCATCCAGTGCATAACAAGGCACAACATTGAGTATCACAAGAGCACCGGATAATGAAAACAAGTATCTAAAAAGAACAAGGAGAATGTGAACTAGACATTTTTTTAAGTATTTGCTCATTATATTCAAATTAAAACCCTTACAAACTTTCAATCTACAGAAAAGGAACTTGACATATATTACAGTTGGGTTTATTTTCCCCGGGAGATTTACATTTGTAGCAGTCTATGCGTAGGATGTTATTGCTTTGTTTTCACTTGGTTAGTTATGTACTATGCGCGATGGGGAAACATATATTGAGTGACGGCTGGTGATACTGTTTAGTCGGTCGCTGCTCAGGCTGAGGTAGGTTGAGTGGGATTCAAATCAGGCATCCATTAGCTAACCTTTAAGCCAACCAACCAGATTTCCGTAGGATAGATTCCACTGCAACACAACCAACTTATAATAGTATTGTAATTGCAACCCACTTACTACAGCTGTCGCTCCCAACTATTCTGCAGGCAAGCGACAGGTTTATTGCTAGCTGGTACTCATCAGTCAACAAGGCGTATCTGCAACTTATGTTCTTTGGGAGATTCGAGCCCGCCAAGCGCTGCAGTCAGACGTTACCATTGAGCTATTTGGGTTTACAATTGACCTCCTGTAGGACTGTATTGCATACTTTGAGTTCGAATCTCAAAACCTAGGTCCAAGACTTCCTGCCGATCGATTTCAACCGTCGAATATCCAACAGTTCACAGCGCACCATGATGGCGAATCACCTAGCATGGTGACTTGACAGATGGAATTAAGTCTGCACCAAAGAAAGGACCGAATAAATTACCCTATCTACTAACTAGTATCCAAAAAAAGTATCCTCGTAACTACATACAACATTTTCGCGTAATTCAGGACAATATTCTACAGCAGTTCATGTGTAAACATTTCGCCAAATACAGCAAATAGCAGTTAAACTTTAACAGTACTACAACCTTTTAAAATTTTCAGTGCAGAGTAAGAAACTCCCCATGATGAACGCCTCCCAAAAACTGCAGTCACACACAGAATAAGAAACTGCTACTGGCTCCCCAAGATAAGCAACATTTCTTCCATCAGGTTACTTAGTTTATTATGATATAAATTGATAAGTGCATGTTAGCGGCGTTTCAATGGTAGAATGCTCGACAACTAAACACATGGTTCAATATTGATATTACCAGTCGACACACTCCTAGAGCTTTTTCTTGGCCGGTGGTAGTAAGCTCTTTTCAAAGAGAGAAAGTTCAGCGTGAGGTTGGCATTTCCACACCGTATAAAAAGACAGTTAGAAAAAATATCTTAAGTCTTGCCTTGACACAACACAATTCATACTGAGAAGCAGCATAATAATTGATATTAACAAATAAAAAGTGATTCTACCATTGCCCTCGATAAAAGTTTCACTACTTACGTGCAGAGTAACCCAAGAAAAGATGGTAAATTTGGTGAAAGTATTGAAGGCCAACGCGGAACGTAGTCTGAAACACCTATAGATGCTACAAGATCTTCTAAAGGACCCAAAAACAATATAGCAGGCGCCTTATAACGATTGTGTACTAAGCGTACTAGACGCGTGGAATTATCTGGAGGACTTGGCACAACGCAATACATAGATCGAGTGGATATCATACCGACTGGATCCCCTTGTATTCCATTGTTATTGCCGAGGCTACGCACAGGACCAAGACTACTACAATCAGCAGTCACATTACAACCAGTGCGCTCCGTCACAGCTCGTGCTGGTAAACATGTGTACCTGCGGGACTGAAAAAGTAACAAACAAAGGAATTAAACATAATCAAGATATCTTAAAAGAATTCCAATAAAGTTTCATTGAAGCTTAATAAATCAAAATAATACAGTTACATTGCAATCCACTACAAATATCAGCTGCAATCGTGAAATAGAATGTCAACAGAAGTCGAGCACTTCAAAAGTCTAGTTTTTTAGATTACCAATCGACCGATGCTTTTACAACCGCATCCTTCATAGAGAAACTTCTACTCATTGTACCTTTCCTAAGGTTTATATCCTAAATAAGCCGAAATGTTATAAGGTTATCAACTAATGCTGAAGCTTTTTCAACTTCTTTGGCATCCGTCACGCAACCCTGCATGCCTTCACCATCAGGCCTTTTAGTCATTTGAGGTCCATGTTATTAGGAATTCAGTTACTAGAGAAGGGTTGTTTATGACGCACGCTATAAGCCACCCCTATTGTGTGACAGCCGATACTGAAATCATTAACCCAGCCACGTAGGGAGGTGTACACCTCCTGACTGCTTCGGGTCATCCGGATGGTAACTAACACCCAATGAAAGCTTCAAACAATTGGTGATATCGCTCAAAATCGTTATCAATCCATAGCGCACTCCATGTAGCACACAAAGCAAGAGAAGAAAATAGGAGAAATACATATTAGAGACAGTAAACAGAGATGTGAGACAAAGGTATAGTAATAACAAAGAACAAAACAGTTTCATCTGAAATCATAAGTCATAAGGAGTGGATGCATCTGCGCCACTGAGAACGATTTTGAGCCATGTCACCAATTGTTTCCAACCATTGTTTTTTACCGTCCTGAGGACCCCAACCAGGAAGTTTACACCTTCCTACGTGACTTAGACTAACTGTTGTAGATTTCATTGACTGGTGCCATGTTTTCGTTTGACCGTTTGAAAGAATACTACAAGGCACAATCATTCTGACGATGCCGGTTTGATTTTGAATGACAACCATGACATGGTGTTCTAAGCTTATTTTGCATTCCGGTGAAATTTTATTTTTATTTTGACTATACTGTAATATATGTAATACAGAGACGACTCTAACCAAGCGCTTTTTAGCCCCAATAAAAGACGTGCATAGGGTCTGGACTTTCTCTCGAAATGCTCTCATTTGACTACACGTTTATAGCCCCTGTCGTGTAAATCCAATACTTCGCCTTCATTTCCTCACAAAAGTGAAAGGGACGATGCGAATGTCTGGCACTTGCAACCAGACTGGTGGACATGCAGATCTTCCTATGGGAACTACAAAAACATGATCTGAAACCTATGGTGTGTAAACGGGCTCCAGAATCCGGAAGGATAAAATGAAGTATGTGATTGTTTCGGTCACTAGAACTGATGGGAACGTAGCTCCTGACGCCGCCTAACAACTTTATGGATCAGAATTTAAGTCAAAGGTACGCAAGTGGCCTCTAAAGACAATCGCTTGCTTCAGTCTGGGAATTCGGGCATATATATATATATATATATATATATATGGTGATGGTGAGTGAAATCATTGAAACATATTCTAGGAAATTAAAGTTAGAATCAGAAAGTTCGATTTTGAAGGTGCCTGATTTGAAAATTTATTTTGTGCAAATCACCAGTACCATCAAGTTATTGTAATATTTATTGTGTTATTGACTAACATTTACGTGTTTATGTAAAGTATGTTTTAAAGAATATAAATGCATAATGCGCAGCAGAGTTAGAAGACCAAATGATACAGTCACATAAATTAAAAAATTCAGTTTGATGAGGATGTCTTGAAGTCTGTCAAGGTCTATTGAAAACAACAACAAAAACACTTACACAGTAAACTTTGAAAGAAATTCGTCTATTTTCGTAATTTTATTGGTGAGATTAGTGTCAGTGCATAGAAGTAATCAGTACTGATGGCTAAAACGTTGAATTACTCATTATCTACATTGCATAACACACATTAACACACACACACACACACAAATCTAGCTGAATTTTCCCAATAATTCAGATTTCAAGTAATTTGCAATTTACACGATTTGTTCCTACGGTGTGATATATCTCACCACGGTTTCCTTTATCAACCGAATTATTCACACCACACAGTCTGTGATTTTCTTGAGACTATAAGTGGGTAGTCAGGAAAGCAGGTATATTTGCATACAAACTATAAACTACTGATTGATTCGTGGTTTCTAGAGGAAACTATGCTGAGATTTCACACCGTCGAACCGACAGTGCAAATTGCAAGTGGAGAATCAATTTGAGAATGGTAAATTTGACTTCTGGTACACTTGGTGTACTCAAGTAACTAGCAGGAAATAGGATGGTTTGAACTGATTCGGCTCCCTCTGAGCTGAATTGAACAGGTTACCGCACTAATGAGCCAGACACCAAACGAGTGACACGGTTGTGCTGTGTTTAGATCTACACTTTGTTCTGGCTATCAAGCACTACTGGTCGATAAGAATGCTGCACAACTGACTAACTGGTTTCAACATAGAACTTTGCACCAATATGCAGCAGTTCCAGTCGCCACACTTCACTCAGCACACAAAGCAAGAGAAGAAAGTACAAAGAAATGCATAATACAGACAGTAAACAGAAACATGAGGTAAAAAGAACAGTCATTTCAAAGAACAATATAGTTTCATTGGAAATTACACGTCGCAAGGAGTGGATGCATCTGCGCCATTGAGAACGATTTTGAGCCATATCACTCAATGTATCCAGCCATTGGTGTTTACCGTCCCGAGGAACCCAACCAGGAAGTCTACACCCCCCCTCCAACGTGGCTGGCTTAAAATGTTGTGGATTTTATTGACTGGTACTATGTTTTGGTTTGACCACCACTAACTCTTTTCCAGCCTGACCCTATGTCAGCTAACATTGCCCGTCGAGGAATGCGATGACTAGACATACGTAACACATGTCCTAACCATCTAAGTCGATGTAGCTTCACAGTCTCGTCGACTGATTTGCCCTCCTTACCTAACATTCGACGCCTAACCTCAATATTGCTCACCCTATCATACCGCTTCACCCGGGAGATAGAACGCAGGCACCTATGATCGAAGGCAGCTAGCCAGGCTTTTCATATCTTCTACTTTCAATGACCAGGTCTCACAGCCATAAAGGAGGACGGAGCGGACCGTTGAGTAGTACACACGCCTTTCGGTTGATAGCCGGATATCATGTCTACGCTGTTATGAAATCTCCCAAGTTGTTTATTCGATGCTTGTCAATCAAAAAGTGATATTGAATACATTCTAATCACGGAGAGTCCCTTTGTTAAGGTCGTAATACTGAGTCGAGAAGTGTGATATTTGAGTCCGTTTGTAACTACCTACATACATAACGAAACAGTATGACACTATCTCTCCACTACATTATAAATTAAGCATAGACTTAAATCAAAACATGGGCAACAAGGAATAATACTTACTGTAGAGCTAGATTTAGTAGGTGCCAAATAAGTAAAGCATAAATGGGTTGATGCCGATTGAACTGTGCAACAATCATCGCTCAATTTATCACGGTCACTGATTGACTGGGAATTGTCATATTCATCCAACTTGTTCACAGCAGCAACTGCAGACAAACTACGTCTCGGGGCTTGAACTTTATTATCCATCATGCTTAAATAAGCACCAGATACACAATAACCAGAAGGATGATTGTAAGCTTCCTCTAAACATTTGAACCAATCCGACTGTTTGTTTACTGGGCATGAGTTCACTCGTGTGATGGCGTCACCAAGAGAGAGTCCACGATGTCCTGTAACAACAGAATCCTGAAAAAGGTATTTGCGGAAAACAGTATTCAATGATTTATATTCGTTGAGACGAACTTTGATTATTACTTTTTATTTTATCGTATTTCATGAATGTTCTACACACATAAACAAATAAATTACTGAATAACGCGCAATTTCAACAACAAGCGTGAGTACAAGTGATTGCACAAAGATACAAATCACCTCGAAACGTTTATATCACCGAAAGTGTAAAGCTCAAGACTACTAAGTAATCGCTGAACATTTGCTTATTGTCTACGAAGTAAGTCTGACTGACTGACTCGTTTCAAAATAGAACTTTGCACCGATGTACAGCAGTTCGAGTCGCCACACTTCACTCAGCACACAAAGCGAGAAGAAAGCAAAAAGAAATGCAAATAGAGACAGTAAACAGAGATATGAGGTAAAAAGAATAGTAATTTCGAAGAACCATATAGTTTTAATGGAAATTATAAGCCACAAGGAGTGGATGCATTTGCGCTAAGCATTGAGAACGATTTCGAGCCATATCACCAATTGTTGGGTGTTAGTTACCATCCGGATGACCCGTACCAGTCAGGAAGTCTACACCTTCCAACGAAGTGCCTAACTGAAAAACTGAAAATCCAGGTTGTTACCAAAATCTAAAAATAAACGGTCTGTCTAAGATTTCACGATACTGCCTAGTCATCTACACCATAGTCGATAAAATGCAATTTAAATCCATAACTCTTTGAAAAGAAATTAAGTATCCACATTTCATTTGAAAACCGTTTAATTTGTAACGAACTGAAAGAAAAAAGCAAGAACGAGAAATGTGCCAGGATAACCTGAGTTCTTATTTCGGGGATGCTTCTCAACTGGTTACACAACCTGAACAATACCAAAATTATAAATTGAATTAAAGATGTGAACATACTTTTTTACAATGATAATCAGTAATTAACTGGAACTGAGAGTAGCATTCGTCAAGAATAATGTACGTTGTTGAATAATTAAGAGTGAAAAAGATCGACTATTCATAGAAGAATTGCACATATTCCTGCGAAATTTATCAACGAAATTGACATTGAAGCCTAATTTGAAGGTTTGTATCATAAACAATGTGCGTCAGTGGTGCAGCGGTAGAATGCACGTGGTCCGGACCGGCGTTCACCTTTACCTTCCTTAGCCAGCTACAACCCGAACAAGGAGGCAGGGTTGCGCATGAAGCTAGCACAACTCCACCCCGTAACAAAAAACACCACTGCTACTGAAACTTCAAAGCTAAAGTTTGAAGCCCTATGCTCCACTGGGAAAGCAAAGGAATAAAAAAGATCATCAGCTGTCTGAACTGAAACCGATGGATGGAGAGAAACAAGGCTGGTTTAAATCTCGACTTGTTGATATTACCTCATCAATACACCATATCCCCAAATCCACAGTTTTGTTGAAAGACCATCAGACAGAATTGCGAAACTTAACTCGCAATGAATTTACTGTTATTCTCCAACCAGACATAGGAGCAAGGGTTGTGATAATCCCGCTAGAAGAAACAAAACAAATTATATGTCAGCATGCTGATCTCATTCCTCTGCCAAAAAATGAACCCAGACAACTGCTGCTAATATGTACTAAGGATATACAGTTTCAATTCAACAATGTTCTGTACCGCCAAATTGATGGAGTCACTATGGGAAGCCCGCTGCGTCCGATTCCGGCAGACATCTTTATGGGCAACCTGGGACAAACAAAAATGAAGCCCACAATCGATCAGACAGACTTCTATACCAGGTATGTTAATGACACGTTTGTCATTTTTGATGGTTTTAATGACGCATCTCAAGTATTAAATGACCTGAATAGTGCTCATAAAGTTTACAAAGGAGTGTGAAGATGAGGACAAGTTATACTTTATGGACCTTGGCATCGAACGTGATAACGATGGCTAAACCGTGAGGTACATCTATAGTAAGGAGACCTGGAGGGCGACTCACCTTAACTTCAAAAGCTTCGGCCCTATAAGTTACAACAAGGGATTGGTGATTGTGTAAGGAAGCTTTGCTCAGAAGAAAATGTGGAGGAAGAACTAGCCGCTGTTGAAAAATGCCTGCGTGATAATGGTTACCCACAGAAGTTCGTCGACAAACATGGAGAACGTAGTTTTAACAATGTGAAGTACAGCACAGTAGAGATAAAACCCGTATTTCTACAGCTTGCCTTCAAAGGTGACGATACTGAAAAGAACATATCCAGCTGCCAAGCTTGTATGTGTTAATCAAACGACCTGTTGTTTAAGACACTCAAAAGTGGACAAAACTCTCACCTCATGTTACCTCTAACCGCGTCTACCAATTTACATGTACGTGGCAAAGCACATACATTGGAAGAACAGAAAAAAGAGTTATTGTCCGCATCTCTGGACACATACCAAAGAACCTGAGATTAAAGGACCCACAAGCATTAAACAGTGCGATCGCACGCCATATACTAGACACTAGCCATGTGTTGGACAACCTGAAGACGTTCAAAATAACCAAGAAACAAAAGAAACCTAGCCTGCTTCGTTTTAGTGAGGCAATCGTCATCAAACGACTAAAACTAAATCTATGTACACAGAAAGAGGCAGTGGTGAACCACCACGTTTATCTATGCCATTTCATTCAAATACTAGCACTTTTATACTCTATTTATTAACCGAAACTTCTTCTAAACAACACCCTCGTTGAACTGTTCGGCAGACAGATATCAAAACATAAAATCTGTTAAAACTGTATCACAGTTTCACTTGACTACTGAAGCTCGCAAACACATCGGAAGCAAATAGATTTATTTGAAATCTTAATTCATTTTATGAAATAAAAGTATCTTATTTCACTAATTCAAATCAATCAAGATAAGCAGCACAGTTGATGGAAGTTAGAAAGCGGCATCCCGTTGTGCACAGACAATCATAGAAACGAAACGAGATGAAAGCAGTATCGACGGTAATCAAAAGCGATTTGACTACCCATAATGGTGTACAAGATTGACATTAAATGATTGGTTATTTTTGGGAAAAGCTAAATATTTTCAAGCAATTGAATCGGTACGAATAATTGAGCCTAGGAATGCAAACTAAAATCCTAATGGACAGTCCAGTTGGTCTTGTACATAGTTTGCGATTGACATGAATTTGTTAGCTGAGCGCTTCCTTGGGTTCCGAGTGGAACATAGGGCTTCAACAACGTCTCCACTTTGTTTTACTTTCTGCCGGGCCCAGGACTGCACATAATCTACAATCTGCTCCTCCTCACACGATCTCCTTTATGTCACCCTCTCACCGGCGACCCACTCGTCGCTTCCCATTAGGATTCCACTCAAGGGCCTGGCGCGCAATGTCATTCAACGGCCTCCTCAATGTGTTCCCGATCCATCTCCATTTTCTCCTACGTATTTGTTGAACAATAGGCTCTTGACTGGTTTGTCCTCAGCCAACCAGAGTTTCTTGTTCCTAATTCTTTCTGGCGAGCCAGCCATTCGATCTTCAATATGGAGCCAGCAAAGCGAACAGCTGTTGATAAAAGTCTATAACTGGCTGTCGGAAATCCTATTCGTGACGCGCACGTCAAGTTTCTGACCCTTATAGAAGAACTGACTGACTGACTGTCTGACTTGACATTTGTGTTGAACAGAATCCGAATCTTGTTCTTTGTGATGCTGAGGCGGAGTGCAGTGCAGAAGATTTCCAAACTGGTTTCAGTTTGATGAATGCGTGCGTATTTCTCCTTTCCGATTCTGACTGACTGGCTGGCTAGCTTTGACATCTGCATCCAGTCCGAATTCCTGTGGTTGAAACCATGCTTCCTAGCCGCATAACTCAAGGAAGTAACCTCTGTCAAATCTCTCCGGTTGACGGTGATTACTCCTGGTTGTTGTTGTTACTGTTGTTGGTTATCTTCACCACCTCCGCCTCTATGTTCACCTGCAGTCCTGTCTTCGTCGATAGCCAGCCTCATAAGCTAGTTTGTTGGTTTTGTCCAGTAAGTCTTTGAATTTACTTGGCGTCTAACACATGAATCGTCCGTGATGTCCAGATCTTCTAGAGCCTCCTTATCGGTCTAGCGTATTTCTGTCTTCTCAAAACCCACAGTCTTTCGCGTAATCCAGTCAACCACAAAACAGAACATCATCGGTGATAATAGGCAGTCAGTCTTGTTTTCCTCCCGTGTTCACTTCGGACGTTTCGTTGAGCTTCCCGTTGTGGATTATCTGACACGTGGCATTGTCATATAGCCAGGTGTTAGATGAGATTCATAAAGACTCTAGGTACGCCATAGTGTTGAAGTAGTTTCCAAAGTACTTCTCGGTACAGTCAACGCTGTCTGTCGCAGGTCTTTTCGAAGTCGATGAAGGAAGTTGAGGTAGAGACAGGTTTGACTGCTATTTTATGCCTTGTTCTGTGATGATGATGCGTTAAGTTCCATTTCCATCAGTACATGACTTGCCTTTCCTGATTCCAGTTTGTTCCGGTGTGGCTAGCGAAGTTCTGTATCCAGCACATCATTCATTCTCTCCAGGATGACGCGACTTAGTATTTTACTTGGCGAGGGTGGACAAGGCCATTATTCCACACCAGTTCTTGCATCGGGGTAATTCGCCCTTCTTCGGTAGCTTGACAAGGCGACCTTTCTTTCAGTCAGTAGGTACCTACCTCATCTGCTTTTCAAACCTTTTGCAATAATTGCGTGAGCACATCTGCCGTAGTCACTCTGCCTATTTTTAGTGTTTCTAGATGAATTTCGTCTGGTCCTGCTGCCTTTCCCACTGGATTTCAGTAGCTTGATCGCATTTAAGATTCCTGCATTCGTTGGAGGTTTGGTGTCTACTGGCTGGCAGTTGTGAGTGTGTGTGCTGTTGGTGTATTTCTGGCCGAGTTGCATGTGTTGGTCGATTCGAGAGTCCTTTAAAGTGATCAGCCCATTGTTTTACTTGTTTCTCCTCCTTGGTAATCAGGTTCCCTTGAGTGTCACTTATTGGTTTCATCAACTGGATTGTGTGTCGTAGAATTGTCTTTTGTCTTTCCTAGCACTCTTCTTCACTTATTTATTCAGTGCAGTGTATATTGAACTCAACCGCTCCTTCTGTTACTTTGTCTATTTCTGCATTGAGTTATCTTCTGTCTCACCACCCTCCTGTCCCCGCTTCCATATATCCGTTGACAACCATTCCTTGTCTTGCCTCTTCTTTCTTCCTTGGACAGTTGCACACGTTTCCTTGAACGTTTCCACACAGGTCTCCTCAGTGATGCCACACAGTGTCTCTGACTTTGCCGTGATCTGATCTGTAGTGAAGGCATCCGTCGTAATTTTGTCCTCCAGTTTCTGAATGTTGAACTTGAGTTGTAGTCTGTGTCCAGTCGTTTTGAGGGATTTCGGCTTCCCCCCTAAGGTCCCTTGAACTAGATTATGGTCTGAGCCCACATCTGTTCCGCTTCTCGACTTTGTATCAAGCAGGTTGCGTCTCCACTTCCTTGAGCAGCATTGACATGAAGTTTATCTGGTTTGTGGTAGGTTCATTAGGTGAAATCCATGTTGCATTGTGAATATCCTTGTGCTTGTACACGCTGAATGCATCCAGTCACCAAATCATTGATAGAGCAGAAGTCTGAGAATAATTCTCCGTTCTCATTCATTTCTCCGCGTCAGAGCTTCTCGACCCATGATGAGTTCTTTTCCCCAGTGTTGATCTTTTCATACGATGAAGAAAGGAAAGCACTACTCAAATACACTAAAAATTTTCAAGAAACACTGTGAAGCTGTTATGCACTAATACAGACAGCAACAGGACACAGAGTTCGTGGAATTCATCAATTTGCACCATTTGCATTTTGATTAGACGCATTTTGTTACAACAAAAGTGCACTAAGTAACTATGAACTATTTGTTTTTACTATGCACTATTGAGCGTTTATGCTTTTAAGAAAATACGTTAGAATGTCTCAAAATCTAATGTTTTGCTACATATGTTATTCCCTTTGGTTCCGAATGAGACATATGTCTTCAACAGCACATCTCCATTTCGTCATATTCACCGTAGTCCTCTTCAACTGCCCCCACGATAGCCCATAAGCTATCATCCCCTTCTCACATGATCTCCTCCATATTATCCTCAGATACATGCCTAACTCGTTGCTTCCCGCCCCAGGGACTGGAGCGCGATGTGACTCAGCGGTCTTCTAAACGTGCGTCCAACCTATCCCAATTTTCTTGAAAATATTTGCTGGGCAATAGGTTCTCGGTTGGTTTGTTCCCAGAGTTTCTTGTTGCTAATTATTCCTGGCCGGCTAAACGGCCTTCTGATCTTCAGTAAGGAGTCCGAGAAGGTAAGTCCTGATAAAAGACTGTGCAGCCTGTTGGAAATTCACCAAGTTACTGACCCGTATAGAGGAACTGACTTGACATTAGTGTTGAAAATCCAACTTTTGTTGTTTGTACTACGGAGTGCAGTAGATTTCAAAACCGATTACAGAGTAGTGGAGTTCTGCCTTTTGCCTTTCCGATTCTGTTTTTGACGTCCTCATCCGTGATACCAACTGTAGTTGAGACGATAGTGCCTAGTTAGACGAAGGAAGTGACCTCATTCAAATTCCTTCCATTGACAGTGACTGGGGCTTTATCTTGTTGTTGTTGCTGTTTGCTTATCTATATCACCTGCGTCTCCTCTATGTTCACGTGAAGTTCCTGTCTCTGCTGCTTTTTCTGCCAACTGGATTTGAAATAACCAAACCAAATAAAATACCCTAACCATTCTATATATGGTACAGTTCTTTTATTAAAAATTAATTGATTTAACTCTGTTAGTTACACTGATATCAGAATCGAATTTCGGTACTGTGGCATAATATTATTGTTCATTTAATAAATATTATCACCAAAACAAAAAATCAAAGAATGAGAAAATAGAAAAAAAATAAATAGAACTAAATAATCAAAACGTGAAAGTTATGTGTTTTGATGTGACAATGACCAATAAGAAATTGAGTTCTAAACCTCATCGGCAAAAGAGATAAAATACTGAATCCCTGTGTTTTTTATATTAGATAAAATCATTCCTTTATGGAATTCATGTTAGTTAGTTAATTAATTAGCGTATTGTAGACAAAATCTAAGATTGTTTATTTGCTATTCCGTTGAGTTCTGAGTGGAATACAGGGTTTTAACAATACATCTTCATTTCACTCTGTTCTTTGCAGTCTTTCTTAGTTGACGTTATGATTGCCGAAAAATGTTCGTGTCCTCCTTATACGACCACCACCTACCTCTAGGCGCTTGGTGTCACTCGACGGTTCAGTCTATCTCCACTCCCTACGGCAGACTAGTTGGGCAATAAGCTCCTGGTTGGTTCATTGTCAGCCATAGTTCCATACTGCTTATCCGTTTTAACCGTCTGATCCTCAGTACCGAGTGAAGGTAGTTGTGGACAAAAGTCTTCAGGGAACGCCTCTCGTAATGCATCGTGTTTGGATCATATAGAGAAGAACTGATTTGACATTAGTCTTGAAGATACACATCCTGTTCGTTATACTGAGTGCAGCAGATTTCATACTAATGAAGTTCTATCTAGTTTTCGCAATCCAGCCGTCTGTAGTTGAAACGAATCTGTCTAGATAGGAGAAAGAGATGATTCCCATTAAATTTTTCCCGTTGGTGAGTGATGCTTGTTGTTGTTTGTTGGGTATCTTTATCACCACTGTCTTCTTTATGTTCGCTTGAAGTCCTTCGTTCAGTACTGAATGTCGAGAATTGTAAGTATATTTGAGAAAGGAGGAGATTATTAGGCATTACCAATTCTTCTTCTTCAGAAAAATGAATATAACGCCAAGCTTCTCTGAGTGCACAATCCATTTTCTCACTCAAAAAGCTGGGCATGTAAGAACATTGCCGCTTTTGGATTTCCGAATCTGTTCAGTCGTAGGCATACATGTGAATGAACTAGCATATGGTTGGAGTGGAAACAAGTATTCTAGAAGCAGCAGCAATCTTCCACCAACACATTCCATGGATCTGTAGAATTGGACAGTACACATGACTTTCAAATGAGATCCAATCGAGCAGTGTATTCTGCTATGGTACTCACAACTAACACTAACAAGTTCACGAGTATTAGCCAGAGAATCTCCCAGTGCAGGACGAATAGAAGAACTTCTATAGCTGATGGTACTGTGTGTGTGTATGTGGTTGGTACTTGTAGGCTGATGTATTACTGGAGCACTTGAAGGAGATAAGGCATTAGTACTGCCTGGTCTCAGAGCTCAAAGGATAACCACCTGAGGTCAAACTCACATGTGATCCATTTCAAGTTGAAGTTTTTGGAATTTCGTTCGTACATAAGGCCAAACCGCTGGCTTCAAACCAATGTACGGTTAATTGGGATATACAGTTTTCGGAGACGAACTTTTCTAATCTTACATCCTCAGTTGGGGAAGCTAGTTTGTCAATTAAAGGAAACACGTCACTGGAGTGACACTCCTATTCACTGACAGTACGACTTCCGCCTCAGAGGCTAAAAACGGCATACACTAAGGTGCTAACTCTTTTTGGTTCTATCACTATCCAATTGACCTTTCTGGAATGACTAGAGTTGCAGGAACATTTGTATCAACCAGTATAACTTTGCTGAATCATTCTGAAATGCAAGCTTGATCACCACTTCAAATTACTAGCTGAATGAGAAAAATATAAATCAGTGCTTACTTCCCCATACGAATGAACTTTCACGAACAACTCTGATGATTAGGACAAACATGGATGTCAGATTACTTCTAATAAAGAGTTTATTTATCATATTTCTCGTAACAGTTGCAAAAAATTATGACCTAAATTTAATTAAATGAAATAACCAACTAACTAACTTCAGCTAGTTCATGAATTGATTTTTTTTTTTTGGTTAAACCGAACCTCAACATTTAAGTTTAAAACATCTGAAGAGATATGAATTAATTGATTTAATCTAGTAATTAATTAATAGTAAACAAATTCTCTTCCCTTCAATGCACTTTACGTGAACTGTAGTATACGAAAGATATGAAAGAACTAACAAGTATTAAAACTCTAATGGACTCTACTTTCCAACTAGTATAAGTTCATCGAAATAAGAAAATTAGACCAATTTAAAGAAATCCAACATGTAACAAGTGAATAAAATCAAAAATGCAAAGCAGACACAGAACCATACCGGCTTTACTTGTAATAAAAAGATTACCATTCATGATGGGAAGACAGTATGACTAAGGTGTCTATAGTTTTTACTTATAGAGCTGCAGAAACACTTGTAACGCAGTTGCATTTCATTCTTTTGCGTTCCAAATAGAACGAAGAGCTTCAAACTTTACGAATTCAAAACAGCGGTTTTATTTTTCACGAAGGGAGGGGACCTGCTAGCCTTACACCTCCCCTCCCCGATCTTTCCCTTTTTCCTGGCTTATTGTCGGCTAATGGATAAGGTGAACTTTAGGAATGCATCAGTGACAAGGAATCGAAGCCCAGGCCACATGCATGACTGGAGAGCATTCTACCACTGAACCGCTGACACACATCACAGCTATTCGGAGAAGAGGTAAGCGATATGGATATACTATGGCTGGGTTTATAATTCATAAACCCTTTATAACAGCACAATAACACTGAGAAGTGATTTTGTGTACATTTCTATAACTCACTGTTTCTTATTTTCTTTCATATGATAGGAAGCATATAAATGCTGGTTAGTGTCGAGACACACTAAAATTGTTACAGTTAAATACAAACAGTATTCAAACTTCGAGCTTCAGCTTAAACATAAATCCAATTAACCTTCCTTCCTGGTGAAGTTAAACTTCCATTAATCAGTCTCAGTTACCAAAACCTGAATGGATAATTACCGTTGACAAGCTTAACTACCATACAATCACATCATCCACCGAGGGAACTCATATTTAAACCCTAGGAAAATAAGATGACTTTAACAAATAAAATAAACTTCTAACTCATAACTAACCTCTCTTAGATAAGTAACACCGACTCCAATTCCTAAATGATAGCCAGGTGATAACAACACGGGAAGTAAATAAAATATTATCACACTGATGATGGCGATTACTGCATTATGCCAAACACCAGCACAATACACACGAAGCTGACAAAACGGTGAGAGACTCTGGAGGTCTGAAGTGTTGAGGTCTACGAATGCACCCGGATAAAATCCAAACACAAAAATTCCAAACCCATGAAGACGCACACGTTCGCGCACAGCTGCTATAGCATGACCTGCCTCATGTATGAACGCACAAACAAGGAGTGTAAGAATGTAAAAGCCCAAATGGCTAGTTGGTAAATTTATTCCCGGCATCTACAAGGAAAATGTCATGATTATGAATACAATAATATGATATAGAAACATGTCAGAAAAAGCTGATGACTATTCTTAAATTTAACACTATCTCATTAAATCAACTAGGTGTAAATAGCATTGATCAAAGCACAAAATTATTTCAATGAGGAAACATCACAAATTATACATATATATATATATTATATATATATATATAAAGCAAAATGGAAGAATTGGAGTTTTAATACTAGTAGATATTAGATTTTCCCTGTCTGTGTTGTGAGACGAACCCTCAGACTCAATACCATGGATAAAGGTAAAAATGATGTGTAGCGAGAAGTTAATATCAACATTTAACTTCATGCTCTTGATGTTTGCTTCAGAAGGGAAACCGACAACCAAGTAGGATCCCGGTACTTAGGATTGCAGATTGAAGTATGTTTCGGGAAAGCTGGGTTTATAGTGATATGACAGTTCAAGATCCCAATATCTTCATCTTCAAAATCAATCATGATTTCGTGTTAGCCCGCTTAGGGCGACGAAAGTTGAGAAAAGGCATGTATGTATGTTGCTCATACATGTTTTACATGAAGCCATTACATTTCTTTCCCATAGAATTTAAAGGTACAATGATGTACCTTCTAGTGAAATGCCTTACACCTAATGCTACTTATTACATGACATCTTAAACGCTTGAATGTGGTTTTGAGAAATTAATAGCTAGGCAAAAAATATCACATCCTCTGAATACAAATATGAGTGTTAGTGAAATAACATTTTTAAAGTTTTGACCACATATATGCTACTGATTAAAATTTCCATCCAAAAGTAACTACATTATTAACAAATGACAGTGAAATACGTTTTGATGCTTACCACTGGAGTTAGGACTTGGGTTTCAATAGGTTTGCGCATTAAAGTATTATAAGCCAAAAGTGTCAGCAGACAGATGCTTAGTATCATTGATATTGCAGAAAATACAACACCACAGGAAAACCAAAGATTCCACGGTACGGAATTGAAACGACATAATTGATGAAAGAATTTATTTAATCGTTGAGTAAAAATACGTGCTTGAAGAAGATTGAATGAAATACCCAAGTTAGAGGTGAACTCAGTATACCAATTCCGCGTATACGGATATGTGCGTAAGGCTATATCAATCAAATAAACCGAAGCCCAAACTCCCAAGAAGTATGAAACAAAAGTTGTAACAGTCATCACTGACTCGAAAAACTTGAAACTGTACAAACGTTACCAGAATGTGTAGTCAGAAAATGACATGATTTCATTATATCAGATGAACACAAGCAGGTTGGCAACAAAAGAAAATTATGAAGCCACCGTTGTCCATAATTGTATTGTAGCCATCCTGAAGAGATTCAAGAAAAGTAGTTTGTTTTAACGCTTAGCATAGTAATTTGATAACATTTAAGTATAAAACTACATAAAATACAGCACGAAGTAGAAAAATTACAACTGCAATGAACTCATTTTACGCACCTAAGGGGAAACTATTACTGAAAACTTAGGCACTTCAAAACAATTTTCCAGTAATCAGTATATTATATGCCTTATAAGTTAAGCAAAAATGAATGAGTATATAGTCTGTAAGTGACATAAGTAGATAGGGTTGCATATCAGTAGTAATTGACAACTTTATTTCTTTGCAGTAAGATATCGTTATAATTCCTGACTGCGGAAGTATCATTTATGTTATTTGGCAGGGTTAGGATAAAGAAACTTTAAATGAATATCTGCTCTCGAACCCGAGGCTTTTCCACTTATCTTCACACTTTTTCATTTGTATCCGACGACTGTCAAATTTTAGTGAATCTATAACACTCCAGTTAGAAAAAACGTGACTATGGACACTAGAAACTCAGACAGTATGCTCCTAAATTAAACACGAAATAACTTTGTTCCTTTTCTGAAACTTACGATGGTTTGCCATACTTGAGTTAGTCCGCCTACTAACTACAGACTGCCGAACTTATGCCGTACTCAATTTAACTTCAGTCACATTTATAAGACCGGTGACCTAGTCTAACTGGTGCTGAACAATAAACGACTGAAAGACGGCATATTTAGCCGTCTTTTCAAATGTTTTACATAACAGCATAACAGCTTTACTCAGGTGTTTTCTCCGGTTTATTAATTTTGCCAAAGACCACACAAGTGACAGCATTTCCTGTTTAGTGTTTGAAGCAATAGAAATTACAAGAACTTTTTGATGTTCTTTGAGCTTTGGTTATGTTTCTTTAAGGATGGATGCTATCACCCAATGCCAACGCTTTCTTTCATTGCCACTTGCTACCAGTGAATTTATTTTGACCAGCTCGAATGACTGGAGTTCGTCATAACAAATTCACGTGCCAGTGACACGAAAATAAGTCGGGAATCTGCCAGTATAGTAGATGGTATTCTAGTTGTCAACGGTGTTTGACAAGCTTCCACACCAAGTTAGTGCTAGAGTTAACAAGTACGCCTTTGGTCAGATAAATTTCAATGTACACATCTTTGAAACATCTTCAAGTGAAAACAACAAACAAAAACCACGTTAGTAGTGGAGGAATCACAGGTGATTTTGAAATGTTGATTGGGAATAATGTAGAAATAAGAAGAAATAATGTTAGTTAGCTGAACCATGCGAGGATATATTTGTGCAGCACACAAATAAGACTAATACGTCCATTAACTTGCAAGTAAACACAAGTGTCATAAAAAAAAATCAAATCTTGCAAAATTCTTAAGCACGAAAAAGATTATTCAGGTTTTAGATTTCAGTATTGTTACAGCCTTGCAAAGACAATACTTTCACTGTAGTGTGTGGATTGAGGCAGAGGTTACATCTTTCAGCTTTAGATTTTAAGCTGCTGTCACAGGTTTGTAACCCAGACTAATCTAAAGAGACACAAGAAGCCAAATGAGAAAACCAGTCACTAAGAGTTAGATACGGCTCGTTGAGCATACAGTCATTATGCATTTTACCCACTTATCTCTAAAAATATATGGCTAGTTTGAGTTGAATTTGCTTACAACTTTACGTCAGGTACTATTAGCAGTTAGTATATGATCAACTTAGGAATTTGATGAACAGAATTTTTCCTCAACGTGAACTAATCACTGCATTCTTCAAAAAGAGAAAACTTTGACAGCTTGGAGAGGGTGATTCCTGTACGTAAGAACTTGTTGCTTAGTTGGAATTCGATTAGTCATAGGGTACACTCATACTAATTGACTAAGTTTGTGGACCCCACATTTTTTGCGCAAGTACATGCTTAGTAAGAGACATCTGATGAGTAATTTTAGTATCTGCACGTCATGCTTCAATTTTAAAAATTTACTTCTCCCTCTTCACTTTCACTAGACAATACTGATTAAATATGCAGCATTATTCATAACATTAAGAGAAGTGTAACGATATTGGAATGTCTGATAATCCTAACTACCAGCGTAAGATGATGCATTAGCCACCATCATATCCAAGGATAACAGCTTGATTGCATAGTCATCGAAGAATTCAGAACACACACAAAAGTCAATTTCACTGTATTTGGCTACTGCAGATGGCGTGAATGCTTTTCAATGTTCATGATGATGCTAAATTATAAACAAGGCTCATGAACGATATCGTGTAACTACTTGAGTAAGGTCTGAACCGTACTTGTGTAAGGTTTGTCGACTGCTAACCGTAAGACCTACTTTAGGTATTTAGGATCTCGGTTAAAAGAGAAAGGCACTCTGCATACGACTGCTACTCTGTACTTCTTTAGAATTTAAGACAGTTTCATATAAGATAAACAGTTCAGAATCTTTTTTTCGCTTTAAATCGACTTCCCTCTGCTAACACATACTGTAGAATCATATTCACAGTAGAGCAAAACAAGGAATTATTGACACATCAAACCCTCAAATATCCTCGGTTTAATTATGCAAGACGTATCACCTGAAAAATAATAAACTTGTGGATTTTTCTTCATTAAGATGATGTTTGTGAGTGTTGCATCCTGCTAGGAATCTGTGGAATATTAATTCAAATTGGCTTGTGTCAAAAATAATTTCTCGCAGTGGTCAAATGCGTAATTCTGCGGTTTGCCCACCTAAAGTATCAATTCATCAATAAGCAAATGTCATACAACCAACTAGCATTTTCCTCGGGAGCTTGGCAAAAAGTGGGACAATTATCTGGCGTTTGCTGTCAAGTTCCTGCATTGCGCCCTAAGTCTATTCCAGCTGGTATCGGTAACTACCATTCTGATAATAAGCTGATGTGGAATTTGTGAGTTCAACATTTAATGAATTGTATTCATATGTACGTTATCATGAATAATATAATTGGTAGTTACACTGAGTGACTTGAATACACTTAGTGGTTTAGCATTCGCTAATATGTATATGCAACTGAAGTCCGCTTATTTTCTTGTAAGTAGTTCCGCTTGTCTAATCCTTTCTCAAAGGTCGATTGAGGGCAGAAACCCCAATTCTTCTGCGAGTCAGTCCTATAAGTTAATGATATGGTAGGAGAGTTACTACCCCATATGATGAGAAGTTAAACACACTTCAGATCAGCAACAACTACGCTATGGAGTAAACAATTAGTCAGGCGGACATACAATAAAAAAGATACCCAGCAATAAAAATGAAATGCGAATCGATATCTATTTCTAACCGCGAATTCCAACAGGGAGTGGAGCTAAAGATCGAAAATATCATTTATTTGATATTCTCCCAAATATTAACACACGCAGATTTGAAGCTAAGAAAAGCGAAATTCACAAGTACTGATGCGCGAATGTTTATACTCCTCCACTCAATCAGTACAGTGCAGCATTAGAATAACCACCCACCTGCATGACAGAAACAAAGTAACGCAGAAAACTGGTTTAAGCGCCAACACTCAGATTCAGATTTATTCGTTGAGGATAGACGGCTTAGGGCCTATCTTAATCCTTTTCTAGTAAAATTCTGCGCGTGTCCAAACCCTTCTTAAAATGAATCAGTTGAGGTTGCAGACACTTCTTCTGGGAGTCGGTTCCAAGAGTATATGACTTCATGTGAGAACCACTACTCATCAGCGATATGATTTATTCTATTCATTCCTCGTATGATAAGTTAGTCACGCAGAGAACTTAAGAGGCTGACGGTATTGACGTTCACGCACAGTACGAAGTATACTAACGCAAGATCTAATGCCCACAACTTCTATAGTATTCGTTCCGCGTAGCCCAAAGGCAAAGCGAAAGACAATATTTGATCGTCCAAATTACGAGATATATTTCGGGACCAGATCGGAGTGCGAGATGATTGCTTAGCTGGCTAGGGATCGTGCACAAACGTGACACGACGGAGTACCAAATGACGTAGATGCTTGACGTTATGGCGAATTCCTTTATGCACGATGGGGCGAGGAGTACTCGTGGAAATGTAACATAGAATAGTTTCTCTTCCCATACCTAAGGGTTTCTTGGCTAATTGCAGAGTTGTTTTCGACAACTCATGTTGAGGCTCGGTATCTTCTTTTCGAAGACAAGCCAGTTTCACAAGGTCTATGCCTCCTATTTGGGTGAGGGAACAAATGCGCGACAAGGCATCTGCCACAGTGTTCACTCCAGATTCATGGCGAATGTCCGATGTTAACTTCGAAACGTAGCCCAGTTGTCACGATTCTCTAGGTGAATACTTATCTGAAGTTGAGTCCAGAGAGTACGTCAGAGGTTTGTGGTCAGTGAAAATTATGAATTCACGACCCTCCACCGAATGTCGAAAATGACGTATAGCACAGTACACAGCCAGAAGTTCTCTGCCGAATGTGCTGTACTTCGTTTTTCCTTATTGAAGGCGCCTCGAGAAAAAGGAGAGTGGTTGCCGCTTTCTGTTAACTAATTGTTACGTAAATGCACCTATAGCAGTTTCTGATGCATCAACCGAGATACTTAATGGTGCCATTGGATTCTGATACATTAGAAGTGTGGCATCCGCAATAGCTTTATTAACCTGAGTGAAAGCATTTCGAGCAGACACGTCGAGTTCGATGGACTTGTTATTCCCTGGAAGAAGGTCTGTTATTGGCTGAATCAGAGAAGCACAGTTAGGAATAAACCGTCGGTAAACCGTTAAAAGTGTGAAGACTTTTCACTGTCTGTGGCTCTGGAAAGTTCAGTATCGCCTCAACTTTACTAGCCAGTGGGCGAATGCCCTCGCAGTCAATGGTGTGGCCCAGAAAGTTGAGTGAGTCAACACCTATCTGACACTTTTGAATATTGGTGGTAACACCATGTCGGCGTAACCTTTCAAATGCCAAATCCAAGTGTCTAAGGTGAGTTTCCTTGTCTGGACTGGCAATGAGGCAGTCGTCTAAGTATGAGTGTACAAAGTTGAGACCGCAAAATACTTCGTCGATGAAGCGTTGGAATGTTTGTGCTGCATTCCGGAGACCGAATGGCATACATAGAAATTCAAGAAGTTCGAAAGGTGTAACGATAACCGTTTTCGGAATATCTTCTCGTGCCATCGGGATTATGTTATGGGCTGTGACCAAGTCGGTTTTAGAGAACATGGTTGCGCTAGATAGTGTTGCCGTCAAGTCGTGCATGTGAGGTAATGGATAGCAGTCAGGGGTTGTTTTGGCGCTCACTCGCCGGTAATCACCAGTGGGTCGCCAATTGTTACTATCCTTTTTCGGTACCATATCCAGTCCTACTGACCGAAAATGCCAATTTTCACAAGGTGAAGATTCACAAGGTTGGACCTAAAACATTAAGGAAAGATAGAGTTAGAGAAGCACCACTTGCATCCACAAGCAAGCTTGGCAACACAATAAAGGCTGGCCAGAACCCGATGAAGCCTAAAGTTGCTGATGCTGCAAAGGAATACGAGAAGCCAAAGGCCAAACCTAAGTCTGAGGTTAGTCGGTCTAATTCGCTCATCCTCTTTAACGTACCTGTGAGCAAGGACAGCTTGCTTGAACAGCGGGCCCTGTTTGATCAGGAACAGTGGTCCAGCCTGTGCAATAAACTAGGTCTGAATATTAATTCAGTGAAATTGTGCAGGCTGTACAGGGGTGTCCACACACCTCAAGGTAAGCCACCTCCATTACGGGTTACACTGGACTCTGCCGAAGAGGCCGAAAAGGTACTATTGATGGCTCAGGTAATAGCCATCGACAGAAGCTCTAACATAAGGGTGAGACAAGACAGACCATGGGCTGTCAGACAAATGGCAAGGGAGTCACCGGAACTTTTGCCTTCCACCTCTATGGTAGTGCACGGTGTCCCGGAGCTGGAAACGGGCACTGCCTGTGAAAAACACATGCATGACGTACAGCAGTGGAGATGGCTGTCGTCTCAGATGGCCCTTGGCGCTTCTGGAGCCATCTCCGTTTACCGACTACCTCGCCCCGCTCATCTCACACTGATTAGCTCCCCAAAGCTGCTTAGTGTCACATTCAACTCCCCAGAGCAGTTAGCCATAACACTTCAACGGTGGTATGAGATCAAGGGGAAATTGGGAGGACACATCCGATGTTGCGAAAGCAGACCTCGAACCATAAGGAGGCAGCAAACGGAGGCTTTAATATGTCCCCAAGCTTCAGTGACACTCGAGCGATGCAGTTCTGAGAATAACAGTCTGTGCCACCCAAGTGTCCTGCCTAAATCCAAGGGAAAAAACCACAATGGGCCGGTTCCATCGGAATTGGCCAATTAGTCCCAACACTAAGTTCCCTACCAGCAGACAGCTTCACGTCAACTACCCCACAACACGCTGAGGTTGTAAGACTCACTGTCAGCTGCCTGTATAGCAATGTGAGGGGGCTGAGAGTAAAAATAGGTGAACTCCGAAATCTCCAAGCACACCTACAACTGAAAATAATCATTCTCACCGAAACATGGCTAACCCCCACTATCGCCGATAGTGAAATCAGTATAGGTGATATGGTTTTGGTCAGGAGAGACAGGATAATAAGGAAGGAGGGGGAGTTGCCATATACTTTGATAGGCAACTTAAATGTGTTCGCGCAACGGACCCACCACTTATTGAACTCCCAGACTCCATATGGTGTCATTTCACCGTAGGCCACACCAAGCATTTACTTGGTGGCATCTACCGATCTCCCACCTGTGGGGCAGAGCACAATCAGCTACTGCTCAGCACTATCACAGGGATACGAGACTTGGGTTATGACCAAATCACCATTGCTGGAGATTTCAATGCCCCATCACTGAACCTTGGCTCGGGATATGCTAAGGGAAAATTCGGCCGAAATCTACTGCAAGCTATTCGGGACACGGGACTGACTGAGAATGTTGGAGACGACACTAGGTGGGGCCGTAGTGGAAAGTTATCAAAACTAGACTACATTCTAACTAGTGACCAACTACTCGTCGAAAAGGTCCAGGTCATAACTCCTCTAGGAAGTAGTGACCATGCAGTCATAGGTTTCGACCTCGTTCTCCGTGAGCACTTGCAGTGGGACGCTACGCAACCATGTCTGTTACAGCAAGGCTGACTACGCTGAAATGCGGAGGCTCTTGTCCGATGCAGACTGGCCCTTAGCATGGGATGAGCTGTCTGTGGATGAACACTGGGAAGCGGTAAAAAAGATTATTCATACAGCGATCTCGGATACCGTCCCTTTAGTCACAGCACAGCCCAAAAGAAAATCATCATGGTTAAAGAGAGGCACGCACCGTATTCTGCAAGCAAAGAGGAAGGCTTGGTTTACGTGGCACGTATCTAAAAGCCAGATCGACAATGATGCATACCTGGAACTCAGGAACCGGTGCAATGCAAGAGTCAGGAGAGGCAGAAGGTCATTCCAGGCTAACCTTGCTAAAAAACTCCTGGCAAACCCGAAGAATTTGTACCGATTCATGTCTGAAAGGAAACCAACCAACCAAGGGGCTTGCGCCTTAGTAGGCCAAAACGGTCAATATCTCACTAGTCTGGAGATGGCTGAAACATTCAGTTTAGCCTTCGCCAAACAGCTAAACAGCAATGTGGGTATTACCGTTACGAACCAAAATGGTGGCATGACTATTTCACAGGAGGAAGATCAAATAGCCACCCTCCAAATAAACCCTGCAATAGTACTGAGAAAGCTGCAGCGACTCATACCTGGGAAGTCCCCAGGTTGTAATGACATCAGGCCATCTGTTCCGAAACAGTGCGCCGAAGCTCTCTGTAGGCCTTTATGCGACTTGTTCCAACACTCCATGGAATGGAAAAGAAGCATCCTTTCTCCTAACTTCAAGGGTGGGGATAGGCAAAATCCCACCAGTTATAGACCAGTAGCTCTACTCCCAGTGGTATCGAAAGTACTGGAAAGTATTATTGATGATCACATCAGGGAATATCTGGATAGGTCTAAAATACTCCATGAAGCCCAACACGGTTTCAGGAAAGGAAGATCCTGCGTCACTAACTTATTATCAGCTTGGGACGACTGGACGTCATGCTGGGATATGAATGTTCCAGTCCATGTGATCTTTCTAGACTTTGAGAAGGTATTTGACACTGTTCACCATGACCTTCTCCTACACAAAGTAAGCCAAGTAGGGTTAGGTAAACCACTTCTGTCATGGTTGAAGGACTACCTAACTGAAAGGCAATTTTGCACCAAGGTCAATCGAGTCCGATCATCTTGGCACAGCTCGTCATCAGGAGTGTCGCAGGGTTCTATCCTGGGACCACTGATGTTCTTGATTTTTACCAATGATTTACCATGCCGTCTAAACTGCCCGACTCTTCTATACGCTGATGACGTAAAGATATGGAGGGCGATGAAGTGTCCGGAGGACTCAGATAGACTGCAGGCAGATCTAAGGCTTCTGGAAGACTGGGCGGTAGCCAGTGGCATGACTTTCAACCTGAAAAAGTGCAAAGTAGTGAAGTTACG